AGTAATACGAGCATCTTCATAATTTATTCCACCCTCACCTTTAAAAAGACTTTCTTTAGCTTTTGAAGTAGTGCTGGAATGTCCTGCAAGCAGGTTATAGAGTACTGTTGGGTTGGATGAGTTGTTCTATATCCTTCCTTTCCTTCCATGTAGGCAGGTACACCTAAACACTTCTTGCTCTTGGTGATTGGTTCTCTTTGATGCTGCCTTTGAGCTTCTTGTGCTTTGAGCTTCTGCTGCTTCTTGTACCTTTTTTTGCTCTTTTGCCTCTCTGTTTACCTCTTCTTTATGTACTCTCCTACTCTGAAACGTGTAAAACAGATAAATGGTTTAAAGGCCTGTGATTAATGTGCTGTATACACACTGTGTTAACCCACATGCTTTATTCTTATAGTTTATCTTTTCTGAACTTGCTGGGTTGAGGCAAGTCTTTCTGTGTTGTCTGGCATCCTGCCACTCTGATCCCAACCCGGCTGTTTGGAACCTGCTGTAGTATGGATTGTAAATAATTGAGTCTTTGATGTTCAGGTCTCTTAGTTGATGAGACTTTTGTCTGTAGATCAAAGTTTAATCGAGAGCAGGTAGGGGCTTTGTTCAATGAGTTGTTTTATGCCAGAACTGTGCTGTTTTTCCTCTAAGTGAGAAAGTATTTGAGACCCTATGACAAACTGCTGTGTCTAGTGGAGAGGTAGGTGCCTTTTTGATCTAAGAAAAATGAGCTTAAGGCAGATTCTGATTTGAAGGTCTGCTTAATGTACCACCTTTCTCTGGAAATTGAGCCAAATATCCTCCAATGTTTGAAATTAATAATCTCCCCTTTACTTCTTCCTATTTCAGACAGTTCTGTAATCATGCTGAAAAGAACTGACTACAAGAGTCAGTGCAAATCTTAAGATTTACGCGTATCTCATTTCCTTCATTTGTATGGCTTAGCATCTCTTTTATTTGCATAATTCAACTCTGGACAGTCTGTTATTAGAATTGCCCCACTGTCATCTTGTGCTATGCATTTGTCTTGATTTCTGATTGTTCTTTTGATTACATGGGGTTCCTCAGCGCTGCTGTATTACAAGTAACAAATAAGACTGTTCCAGGGAAGGAGGAGAAATACCCTAAGATGTTTGTTGCTGCTGGAGAAGATAAAACACATGTCCACTCTCAGGTCCTAAAAGAAATGCCGATCATAAGTATTAATGGCAGAATGAACCTGAAAAATGGGTGAACTTTTATATATATATATATATATATATATAACCATCATGGGTGGAGTTTTCAACTGGAGTTCATCTAATTTCTCAGGGCTTTCTCTATTTTGTTTCTATTGGTCTTCAGTTACTAATAGTTTTGCTTGTCTTGGTCATCATCAGGGTCGTCTTAACCTCTCGTGTCTGAGTACCCTGAAGTCACTCTCTTCAGAGCTCTGGGTACCTGCTTTTCAGGCTGGCTGCCTAGTTGGATAGAGGCTGTTCCTTCTTCATATCTGCCTTGGCTGGCATGCCATTCCAGCAGGATGTGTGGCCAGATGCCTGTTGTTTTAAAAGATTAAGTGAAGGCGAGTCCATCGTGTCCATTATGATAACCCACTGTATCCTGTTAGCGAGCGTATAAGGTTTTTTTGAGAAATTAAGTGTAACATGCATAAACTCCTGCAAGAGAATTGGCTTGGTACAGTGAGATATTCTGACATTAAAAAAGAGACTAGAACAACATGTCGCCCATTACATTGGTTTTCAAAACAGGCATAGCAGAAAATTATTGTCATTGACCTGAATGGTTTCTAACAGGACTCTGTTGGGTTTGCCTCCAGGCCTTCTGTTTAATACTTGTGTTAAAATAGTAATTTCTAAGGGTTGACAGGAGCTATCAATATTGGAGATGGGCAAATAAAGGATAAATCTGTATTCCATAGTAAGTTGTATACGAGCAAGCTGTGTACTTTATTATGGGAAAATGTAAAGCTGTTTTTCTAGGAATGGTGCAGGATTCTATTCTGAGAAGCAGAGAAATATCTAGAAAATATTTAGGAGTTAAGTTGCTTTATCATAAGCTTTCTGTATGATTCAGCAGCCAAATTACCCTTGACTGTATAAATAGTGGAAAATTAGATAGGAATAGGCAAATCATGTTCCATCTGGATATAGTACTGGTGTGTCTGCAAAGTTCTGTGTCTGTTTTTGGTATCAGAGGCAACAAGAAGAATGCTTAAAAACTGGAGATGGTGCTAAGAAAAGGTATGAAAATGATGTAACCATTAGAATATAGGCATTTAATGAATAATATACAAAACTCCTTGAATCTAGTCTGACACCCTGATACCTGCTAGAATGGCAGCATGGTGGAACACAACTAATTTAGGAGATTTCTGGAGTGCATTATGATGATATTTTGAAATAGCTGGCTCATCCAGTGCCTAGGAGAGGTGTCTACTTCTGATACTCTGTGTTTGGCTTCTTAATTTATAATATTACAATTTGCTCATGTCCTTAGTTTTAGTATTAGGTTTCAAAGCAAGATACTTGCTCATTTTGCAAATGGGAACAATGCTGAATATTGAAATGAGTCTTTAAAGTTCGAAAGTTGAGAAAAAACAGAAGTCAAATTTATCTTTCTTAATTCAGGAAAGGATGGAGATGTGTTGCCAGAATCACCTTCTGTGGAATGCTGGCTGTTACACACTTACTTAACTTTTTCCAGTTAGTTGGAAAGAGTCTGTAGTCTTTATTAAATATGGACCATGCAATTCAAGGTTTTATTTTACATTGAGAAAACAGAGTATGAGACCGTGCTCTGTTTGCTCACTACAAGTCTTTGGGACTGCTGGGGAGAGCTGGAGGACCTGTGGCTCGGGTTGAAAATGTGTGTCTTTTGCAGAGGATGGTGATTTGATGAGATTTGTGACTTTTCTTGGGAATGTCATCTTTGTTGCTTTATCTATTTGGGGTTTGTCTTTGTTTTGCTTTTCTGGTTATCATTAAGACACACTTCTCTTTTCAGCATAAAATTGGGCAAGGCAATGTTAACCAACCATTACATCGTACTGAACCTGTTGGTGCCCCTAGTAGAGGTTATAGTTTAGGGTCTGGAGGTGTTCATTATATTCAGCGTTTTATATCTTGGCCATAAATGTGCTTGAGGGGCAGTAATATAATTATTTTTGTTTCCCCTCAGTATTTCTAGCCTGATTGCAGGTGCTTAATATGAGCACATACCCTCTGGTATGATAGGAGAGTTCTCTGGTGACTTTTTTTTTTCCTCCCCCTTAGCTAAAATTTCTCTCTTTAATTCTTGCAAATCATGTATATAAAAGTAGACGTTTTTCAGTCTGATGTTAATGAATCACACGTTGGCAGTGTTTTCCCTGACGTGATAAACAATTGTTCCGTTAGTCTGTCAGATTAGTGAGCCACAAACTCTGAAATGTTTTACGTTTGTTTTTTTTTTTTTAAGATGCTATTTTGACAGCCATTACAGTCTGTCCCCTCAATATCATGGTCTTTGTATATCATAGGCTTTAACAGTTTGAAGGGAGTTAATATTTTTGCTTGTGAGTCTGAGCCCACTTGAGGTTTTTTGCTGTTTTGGGGGGCACGGCTGAGGGAGGGTTCTGGTTTGGTTTTTTTTTTTTTTTTGTCTAATTGGACCTCCATCATGCTCTAAGGTAGGCTCTGGAGCTTTATTTTGATTCAGAAGTTTCTAGCTATCCAGAGCTGGAAATCAGGTGATGAATCTTTATAGAGCACCTAATAAAGAGCTGAAGTTAGTGATCCTTGTCATTTTGGTGTGCAATATTATTTCAGATATAAGCATAGCATCTCTTTCTTACTCAAGGTGTCCTCTTTTCAGCAACATTTAATATTAATACTGAGATCGTCGTGTGGGACCATTAAAGAGACCGATGCTCCTCTCAAACAGTGGTTGTTAATCCTGCCCTCATCCCGATTTGGGATTTATCCAGATTATCTCTGCACTTTCAAATGGTTTCAAAAGAAACTGTTTCCTTCTTCCTGCTGTAAATCTTTTCCCCTGTGCTGCAGTCCTCTGTTATACAACTACCGTCTTCTGCAGGGAAGATGGTGAAAAAGTGAAATAATTCCTGTATGGAAAGGAATATTATTACCCTTGCTGGTGGTGTTGGAGATTATGTTGATTGATGGTTTCCTTTTGTGAACCTTAGTTCAAGGCTGCTTTGGATTCCTTTTCTCTCTTGTTTTACACTCTTGTAGGTCAATAACTTGCCATTTGTCATCAGTAGTGAATTTTTCTACTAGCCTGAATAATTAGTCTTTGTTAGACATGCAGTGATAAATGGGAGAGGAGAGGGAAAAGGGGTAACAATTAATTTTGTTTCAGTAATAGACTTCATTGAAGTTGTGAGCGTACTGCTTGCTCACAAAGGGAAGTGATTTGTGGAATTTTTCATGGACAGTCTTGTCCATTTTCTTGTGAGAACACAGCGGTATCTTATCCCAATCCCTGCAATTTCTCTCTACACCATGGGAATCAAACAAAAATGTACTGACTATACCAAACTCTCCCTAACGTGAGGTCCTGTATTACCATCAGTGTCTGAATGGAAGCAAGGGCTCAGACTGCCTTTGGTTTGTCTCCAAAAATTGAACACAGTTCTCATTGCCCACCCTGACTTTCCTTTTTGCCCAGGGTTTATTTCCAGACAATGAATACCGAAGGCTCAGTCTGGTCTGGGAGCATCTTCTTAACAAGTACTGTTTAAAAAAACCCTGCAAGGCTGCCACAGTCCAGTTCTCTTCATGCAGAGCAGACCTCAGGCTTTTACTAGTGTACGTATTTGTGTATCATTTCATCCATGCGTTGCCATAAAGTTGGGGGCACCCTGGTTGCTGGGATATTTCAGAGTTTTAACCTGGATTTTAATTCAGGTGTTGTGACATAGAAACTCTCACCTGGAAGATGTTGACAACTCTTCTGAAGTCACATGTGACACCTTCGCACTTTTAACAGAAGGTGGGCATTTTTTGCAGGTATTCAGAACGAAGCCTGACAAAATGCATTGGGATAACGATAGAGACCAGACCAGATTACTGCCTGAAGCGGCATTTAAGTGACATGTTATCCTACGGCTGCACGAGGCTGGAGATCGGAGTGCAGAGCGTGTACGAGGACGTGGCCAGGGACACCAACAGGTGAGGAGAAAGCTTCAGGGTGAAGCTGAGTGTGGCTGCTCACTCTGTGTGCTCTCTGGAATACTCCCAAGTAGCGTGTCTTGACCCGTGGGCTTGATCACCCATTTGACACTGAATGTTGAAACATTTGACTCGTTTCCTTGCTTGTGTGGCCATATGTCTGCTAAGAAAAACTAATAAACTGCAGTGGCTTTGTGGATTTCTCTGTGGTATTGCGTAGACCATGGCTTGAGAAAATGGAGTTATTTGTGATGTTTTATTTTAAACTCATATTATTTTCCTGTATTGTACACCTATCTTTTTTTATTGCTTCATAAATAAATACAGTTTTGTGAAGCAGAACATGCGCCCAGAGAGAGCTCAGAGTTCTTGTCCTACATAATTCATCATTTATAGGCTTGAGCAGATACAATGCTGTATAATCTGTTGGAGGTACTTTACCAGCAAAGAGCGTGGTCTCTACACCAGATACCTTTTTGTGCTGAGTAGTGGAGAGGAGAGATGACACTGGCAGGTACAGAGACACACAGCCAGAAGCAACGCCTGCTGATAGATTAACCACAGTCATTCTAGGCATACAGTATCTCCAGGGATTGTAAAATATTTTTGCAAGAGGCCTGTGTTTATTCCTTGTCATCTTGGTCCTGTGGCCAAAAGAACAGTTGTCCTGCGTAGGAGACTGCACGATATGTTATTCATCCCACCCCTTACAGACAAGTAAGCCAATCTCTTTTTTGTTTTTATTGCAAGTCTGATAATTTTGTTGAGATTTTGAGTGAAGTGATTTTTCTCTTGTTTTTTTCACTTCTGGCACTCATTCAACTTGCCTTCATTCTTATTGCATATTCCAGTCACCTACCAAAGATGTTTAATAACCATAATCATATGTAATGACAGCGAGATTATGGTTCAATAGCAAAGCACATTTTTGTTAATACCTACCTTAAAGGCAGTAGTGTAAAACTGAAAATGCTGGACATTTTCTTGTGGCGACTTAAAGAAAGAATCCAAAATTGAGTTTCCTCTTGTGAGTTTAGCTGTAGTATTGCTGGTGCATGAAAGTGCAGGATGTCGCTGCTGTGAAATGGTCAGGCTCCAGGTCTCAGTAGACAGGAAAAGCCATTTATTGAGTAGTCCAAGAGTTAAGAGTTAATATTTATAGGTGGTACTTTCCTCCTCTAGATGTCAGAGCCTTCCAAAAGAAAAGAGCCATACTAAGGAATGTAGCTAGATCTCACTCTTAGGCTGGATATATTCATTCACAGTTAATTCGGACACAGCTTGTAAATCTAAATTAATTTCTCTTCAGCTTTTAATTTTTTTTTTTTTTCACCTCAAATCTTTTAACGGTGTACTATCCTGAAGTGGAACTTTAAAACAGCTGTCACTTCAGTCATCCTTAGTTTTCCTCCAGTTTTGTCTGTCACATCAGAGCTGGTACCATAAATCACTCAAAGCTATACGTCACTTTTGGCTTGTATGTTTGCTCATGAACCCCTGCTTTCCTGCTGATGAATCAGAAGAAGAATGAAGTAGTATATTACTGACTTGATTTCGCTCGGAAGTAATCCTGTATAGAATTAGTTTTAAAGGTTTTTGGCACTCTTCAAAGCTACCTGCAGAATTCCTAAAAGGCTTTGCTGCAGGCTGTCTCTGAGCAGGGAAAATGCAGGCTGTTCACTCAAGTATCTCCCTCCAACTTTTTAGAACAATGGATTCGAATATGCTTTTAGAGGAGGGTGATTTAAGTTTCTCTTGCTTTTGAAATGACCTCATTTTGCTTCTGTTGTTCTTCTACTTTGTGGGGGATGTGTTTTGGCTTTAAACTTTTAATATTTTGCTTGTAGCAAAATGTCAGATTACAACCAATTAGACTAACTGTTTGGAAATTACTTTCTATTATGTTCCATAAGTCATTAGTGAGGTTTTTGAGTGCTTTTGGTGGCTGTGAGGCAGAAAAATATTCAAGAACAGATCTAGGCATCAAATAATCAAGTTATTGATGCAGCTCAAATTCCACTTCTAATAAGAAAATAATTTTTATTTATGAAGCAAGTCTCCATTTACTCCCCTCAGGGTACTCAAGGTCTTGAGTAATACTGTCCTTGAACAGTCTCAGAAAAACACCGTAATACTTCTGAAAGAAAAAAAATATAAATATAACTATAGTCATAAAACTACTTGTAGGGATTTAATGGAGGCAGAATTTTCTAGTAGAGAGGAAAGAAGAGGCCCTTAAAACAAGGGAAGTAGCTGTTTGGTTTGGTTAACATTAGGTTTTGGCAGAAGACATGCATTTGTAAAGGTGCCCAGGTGGCATTAATTTTTCATCCTGAGGACTATGGAGGAGAGGAAGAGTCACCTGCTGAGCTAATCTGTTGGCAAGGAATTCCAAACGATGGAGTGAACTGGTGTGAAAGTGTGATGGGAAGAAAACAGGGATTGGAGAAGGAAGAAGGTAGCAGATGCTGAGGGGGGATAGAAATGTCTGCTGGTAGTGGAAGAGCCCTCCCCGCTTGGGAAGAGCAAAAGCAAGGACGTTGTGGGAAGGTTGGTCACGTGCGATGGGGACCTCCTGGTAGCTGTTGGTAGTGCGAGTGATTGCCGTTGTGGAGGCAGAAGGCTCCTGAGCCATGGAGGTGGAAGGAGAGAGGAGTTTGCTTGAGGCTGAGGAGTTATGTGAGACTCGACCTTTGTTCCTGCCATCGTTTGAGCTCCCAGGCTCTCCGAGCTCCTGCAGAGCAAGCCTGAGTTAGTTTGGTTTGATGTCGGTGGAGAAGAACATGAAATCCTTCAAGGGTCCTAATCCAGCCTGTGTTTTGGAGGTTTGGCAGCTCTCTGAAGTCGAGAAGAATTTGTGTTTCTCTAAAAAGGGCTACTTGAGAGTTTGGCCAGCATGTTGCAGGATGATTTTCTAGCTAGCTGGTTTTACTTAGCCCCCATCCTTCTTCACCTTTTCCTCTTCAGTTGCTTTTGTTTCTGGTTATACTTCATTTCGGTTAGGCACAGTCTGCCATACAGTGTGTCCTAGCTTGTGCTGTGGCATCAACTGGTGTCGTTGCTTTACAAACTGAATTTCAGCAGCTTTCCAAAGTTTCTCAGGCTGTGGTTTGAGTAGCAAAATGGACTACTTTTAGCCCCTGGTGTAGTTTACTTTATTAGCAGCCATGTTCCAAGACTTGAGCAGTGATAAACTGATAATAAACTTATCCCTTCTCACTTCCTAGAGAATAATCTCAACAAAACGTATCAAAATGTTTTTTTTTTTTTTCTGTGTGATCCTGAATCTCTTTTCTCTCCTCCCAGAGGTCACACCGTGAAGGCTGTGTGTGAGTCTTTTCACTTAGCCAAGGATGCCGGGTTTAAAGTGGTGGCACACATGATGCCTGATCTCCCAAACATGGGACTTGAAAGGGACATGGACCAGTTTGTTGTGAGTATGGCTTAAAATAACCGGGAGTTTCTAGTGTGTTCCAGCTTTTCCTCTAACGCTGCTTCTCTTTCCTAGCTCAGCTATTAGTTACGATCCAGGCCAGAATTGTTTCTTAAGGACAAATAATTTAAAATTCTTTTCTGAAGGTGGAGGGTGAGAAAGATTTGTTGAACTACTTCATCCAGAAAATTATATCCTTGCCTCATGAAAGACTGAGTCACTCGGGTCTCTGTGGAATATAGCTTTTCCGATATTAACTAGGGCTCTTACTTTTTTCCAAGGTGGTTTTCTTTCCTTGGATTTAGAATAGATGATTCAAAGTAAAAAGCATACTATCTCGAAGGTAATTAATTGCAAAGTAGAGTGTATAGGTGTATTTTATAGCATCTCCATTCTTGGCTCAGTGCTATTCGATATCTTTATCAATCATGTGGAAGAAAATAGAAAATTATTTCTAGAAAAATTGACGTGAAGAATGAAGAGCAAATGGTAAACAGTGTAGGGAATTAACTGCTTTATCTGATAGCAAGGTAGATTTTTTTTTTTCATTATTTCATTTTTTTAAGTCAAAATTGGGCGTCTTTTTAAAATAGTGCAAAAATTGCAGTCATGACAGAGGGATCCCAGGTATTTTTCTGTGCAAGGTCAGACTAGGTGCCTTCTGGCACTAACAGCTATCAGTGCAATGGAATATGTTCATTGGAAGTACAGGCAGAAAGCAATGGTTTTATCTTGGTGCGCTGCAACAGGCACGTCTGTGAAGAACCAGTGGAAAATGCAGCTGTACAGTATATGAAGGAAATTCTGAAACCTGCAGTAGGTATTTTTTTTCTAAAGGGTTCTGTGCAGAATTCCTTGAGCTCCTCGTAAACATAATGTCGTAGTACTTTGTCACATGAACATAAAGTTTGCTAAGTAGAATGTTGGGGCAAAATGATGTGCACAAAACTAGAGGTGACGTCAGTGAGAGAGCTGAAAGGTAACTCAAAATTGCTGCCCCAGACTCTGTTGCTCCTGGATTATTTTCTTATAACGCTGAAGGTGGTAGGGGGTGGACATCACATTAGCTGTGTTTTTGTAGAATTACTTGTGACACAAGGTACAGCAAAACCTGAGTCCCCTGCTCAGTATATCCTGAAGTTGTAGGTGTAGTTTACGGGCCTGTCATTAGTGAAGTACTATTAGGCTGGAGAGAATTTGTGGTAGAATAGCAATACTGACAAAAAGATTTAAAGAGCTAACCTTGGGTAAGACCCAGAAAAGAGAAGACAGTAATCTAAGATATTTGCAAGATGTAAAACTGAAGAGGGAAAAATTATTGAAGACAGAATTACAAGCTTCTATAGAAAGTTGTTAGTCATTATTATTCTTTTCTGCTCATTCGTGATAAATGGCTAAGGCTTTTCCACTGTTGGATCTGGAGTTACTCCTGCTTCATTGCAGGAGATCTGGGGAGTCTGTTTAAAAGGTGTAACTTCAAGTGACACTGAACTGCCTCCAGTTTCTGCAGGCCCACAGGCTCCCCTGCTTGTCAGGGGAAGGGTAATGCCAGCATGTGTTTTGTCCATCTATTGGCAGTTTTTTGCAGAAGTAGAAGAGGCAGAAGGCAAAGTTCTCATAAAGAGGAGACGATGTTATGAAAAGGCTGGAATTGTGAAAGCGGGGGATTAAAAGAAAGCTGGGGAAATAGTTGAGCATAGAAAAGCAAGAGGAGCAAACAGGGCAGAGAAGGTCAACTGGTTTAGACTATTTCTGCCAGCAAAGTCTCTTGGCTTTAGGAGCTGGGAAAATCAGTGTTGATGGTGGGCCAGCTGTGGGACACAGCAGGAAAGAAGATAAGATCAGAATTTTTTGCTGAAGGGCAGGAATTGGCAAAAGGGCTGGTTGGAGAGCTGGGAAAGAGAAACGCGAAGCAGGGGAATCAGACAACCAGGTCATAGTTTAAAAGGGGGAATTCAAGAAGAAAGGATGATGGGGTGAAGACCAACTCAAGTGACAGCCCTGTTAACGAGTTCAGAAATTTGAAGCAAGACTCACGGATCCAATTAAGTTTTGATGCCAGTGAACATACAGATGAGGAGTTGGAGGATGAGTAATCAGTGTGGAGGATGAAGCCCTCAAGAAGTAATGTGAATGCTGCAGAGTGAGGAAGAAAAATGGGAGCTGGGGAGGCGGGCTAGTGGAGAAGAGGTGATAGATCACATCAACATGGAGAAGATTTATACCTCCGTTGTTTTAAAGAGAAGAAAGTATGGGAAAGGGGGGAAGAAGGATTTAGAAATGCCTGTGTTAGAGAGGTGCACAGAGTCCCCACCGTGATCTGAGACCAGACAGGAAAAAAGACCCATGGGAAAGGGAGCTGTAGAGTTGCTGCCCGGCTAAGTGATCACTGTGCATTTCAGAAAATGAAGCTGCAGGGAATGAGAGTGGAGAGGTTGTGGATCACTGTGACATGTTTCAAGATGGAATGGTAAACAAGAGACGGCTATCCTCTTCCTTTTACCTTCTCTTTTGCCTTTCTCATCCTATCTTAAATGCTCTATAATTTATTTTTAAAAGATTCTTTGTTTTAAATAGGAGAGAATAGAGGGTAAAAACAACCCTTTCTTTCTTTTTTTTTTTTTCCTTCCCAGAACTCTGCACCGGTGAACATAATAGAAGTATTCAGGAGGCAATAATTCCTCCTTTCCCAGGGATTCAGCTAGACAGTTCTCTGTTTCCTACCTTCAAATTTTATAACACAGTTTTTAGTTATTAAAACAACTTATTTATGTGTTGGGCTGTATAAATGTTAGTCCATGATGGTAAATATTTAGACACTTCTACTACATAAAAATAATGTGAGAGCGAAGAGAGGAACCAAGTGGAGAGCATCTGTTGTGTTCTTGCAACAGCACTAAGCTGTTCATGAGCAGCAGTAGTGCTCTTTTATGCAGTATTCTCCTAGTTCACAAACCCATATATTCTTCCTGTAAGATACCTCTGACTCTTTGGGACAAAGACACCTGTGGCTTACCAAGGATTCTTTTTGATTTTGTAGTAGTTCTAAATAAATTTGGAAAAAATAACTGAGTTGTGATGCTAACCTCCTTTCTAGCCACCCTGCTTTTCAGGCTGGGGAAAGTTAGGACAAGAAGGAACCAGATGACTTTAGGTCTAAACACCTTGCCTTCATTACCAGTTGACATTAAATACAGGGGGCTTCTCCTGGGAAGATAACAACTTGCTGATTGTGCTGACTGCATACTAAAAATACTGGGTGCTTCTTCAAATTGAACAGGTAATTGTGGTTTCGAGAGTAACGTCGCTTCTGTCCCTTATGACCTATTGATTTCAAAGCGTTTCCTGCTGCTTCCATCCAGCAGCTAGGATGCCCATCAGTTACTCTTTTTGCAAGCATATCTAGGTTTTCAGAGGGTGTGTGTGTGTGTGTGTAGCAACTGTTTTCCTGGAGAGTTTATTAATAATTATTCAAAACTTTAATTTATTAACAGGAGTGAGCATATTAGATCTTTTGTTATAGGTATATATTCTTTTTTACAGTAAGTGGCAGGTGACTGTCTTTTTGCCTGTCTTCATCATGAGGTTTATTACAGTTACTTCTCTTAAACAGTGTGAATGTACTAGTCCCGTGTCCCGGTTATGTTGTGCTTTTCCGCTCCTTCCCCCATCATGCCTTCTTTCGTCCCTTATTATTGATTCTTTTTATAGCCTCAGAGGATTTCCTTTCTACTTCAGGTCTTTCCACCCCATTCCACATATGGGAAAACGCTGCAGGGAGGGAGTATGCTCTGCTTCCTCCCACCACCCGTGTGGTTGTGCCAGGGGTGTCAGGTAGTGCACACATACACACACGCGCACACACTGCTACTTAGGGTTGGCAAATGCAAGCATAACAGATAAGACTGATTCACAGTGCCTCACGTAGCAGGTGGTCGGAGAAAATAATTAGAATAATAGCTAGAATAAATCAAGGACTCAGCGGGAATAATGGAATTGTTACCAGAGCAGACACCTCATCCTGTGGAACGCGATAAACACTCAGCTTTGCTGTTGTAGCACGAGAGAGATGAGGTGACTCTAGGGGTAAATGGTTGGGAGGATTCATGAATCACACTTGCCAACAGGGCTACCAAGCAGAACTTAGGATTGAAGCAAAAACTTTAGGAGGCTAAAGAATTCCCAGGATGCTGTTACTAATTCCTCATTCTGTTTCTGCAGAGCCACCGAGTGGCAATAGTATGATGAACAAACTTTATCCACCCTAGGATAAACATTACTGAGCTAGTAACATTTATTAAGGGACAAGATATTCCTATGATTGCCTTTTATTTTACTTTTGTGGTCTTTGCCTAAGCATGATTTACTGCTGCTGTTCCTCTTGGTCCTCTGGGAGGGATGGTTGTAAGTCCGTCTCAGACAACTTTAAAGACCCTTCATAGATGAAGTAAATCTGGGGGGCAGAAAAAAAAAGGAAAGGAAGCAGGGAGGAGAGCCAGAAGATTAGAAGTTTCGAGTGTGGGAAGTGTCAGGGGAAGTGTCATAGCAAGTTGCTGGCAGAACCTTCCAGCTCTGAAGGCACGTGGGAGCTGGTGGATGCTGCCCAGAAACATCAGATAGGCTCTTTTTGCTTGAGAAGATCCATGAGAAGGTCCTGTGGCTTCATTCTGTCCATCTAAAGTATACTAGAAATGACATGATGAGGGTAAAAGCATAGGCAGGACCATTTAATGGTCAGTACTGGAAACAGCTATCAGACTGAAATGATTTTTGGTTTAGTTCAGCAGAGACATTCTTGTGTTCTTTAAATAAAATCACTGAATGATTTTAGTCTGGTGGAAGCTCATTTTCTTATAGTCGTGTGCCAGGCTGGTTGTTTTTTTTTTTTTTTTCCTGAAGGAACTGTAAAATAAGCATTTCCCAGAAATAGACTAATTTTAGTGAAATGCCTGATGCATCTATGAACCAAGTGTAAATTATGCAGAGGTCTGCAGCCTTCT